AGCATAAGTAAAGCTAAATATATTATAGACCTCATATCTATCCAACCGATATTAGAATATTTTTTTAAATTAAATCAATAAAAATTATAATCTCAAAAAAAGAAAATCTCGAAAAATAAGAAAATACCAAGTATTATAATCTTCTATCGTATCAATAATTTTTTTCTCAAAAAATCGAAATACTTTTATAATTATAAAGCATCATTATTTATGTATATCAATCAAAATAAAAGAAATCTATATTTATATCCATGCCATCTTCTCAAAATTTATGAAAAATAAGAATATTTCTTCGAATAATAGATTTCATATAAATAGAAATACGAATCTATCAATTTCATCTTTCCAACAACTTATCATTCCATATCTAAAACCTCTCTTGATAAATATAAACAGTTTTAAATCTTACACAGAGCGCACAGAATATTGTTTCATTCGAATAATCTATCATGGAAAGACTCCGTATCCGGCCATGCCATTCCTCATGAGCGGATTCCTCCTTTATATGAAACATGAAATTTTGAAAGGTTTCTAAGCACGACCTTGGAGTAATTGAATCTGTTTTTTGGTATCGATAGATACTGTACTGTAGATGTGATGTTAGCAAAACAACCTACAATTGGAATGGGCATGAGTTAAAAAATCATTTCGATTTTCGCTTGTTCCTGTCAGAAGTCTACGTTTGCATGCTGCTTCAGACGGCAGAACACTTCAACACGGATTCGATAGCTGTACCGGCCTGACCCAATCCAATCTCCCAAAAATGAACCCTCATCACGATGCCCAAGCGGGAGCTCGCCTCAGTATAAGCCGATGACCTGCAAATCTGGATTAGGTTTGGCAGCAATCGAAACAGCGCCGGGCGGAGCACCTTCCACCACACGGCGCCTGTACCAACCTTGTCTGCCACCCCCCTAGTCCACTCTGCTTCGGTGCAAGCATGGCGAACCATGAGATCTTGCGAATGACTGCTAAGCCAGGTGCCCAAACGATCATATTGAAGAGAATGAAGATGAAGCCCAACCTACTAAGCCGTGTCTGGAGTATTCACCATCCGTATTTCGAGCTCCACATGCAGCATTTCAAGTCGGCATGGGCGGTAACCGCTTTTTCACTTCGGGCAAAACCTGCTAGTAGACTTTGTATTATTCCGGCGAAAACTTTTTCCGGTTCTGCTCGCAAGTTCGCAATAAAGCAAAGGATACTTGTTTCCGGGCCCTCTGACAGCACTTGCTATCGCTGCGCCGTGACTGGTGCTATGAATAAAGTTCGGAGGGGGACGCCGGTAGGAAGTAGTTGTATAGGTGGCCACTGAGAGAAAAAGAGTACTACCGGCAGTGGTACTCTCAGCAGTGCTAGTGTGCGTAAGGTAGGGTGCGTGGTTTGGGGTTTAGGTGGTCATGGATTCAAGCTCCGAGCTCTGTGTAACCAGACTGAACTGACCTGTCACTGACTAACCGGTTATTTACAGAATTAGTCACTCATTGAACAGCTTGATTTTTCTTGTGGCCTTGCAGACGGATCATGTTGACAAACAGGTCTTGATCATCTATGTTTTCAAGTTATGACCCTGGAAGTTGCAGCATGGAGCGCGAATGAAGACTGCTGCTTCATGCTCTGGGCACCCGCGTTCAATCTCATCATGCTGTTTAATATGTGGCCTTTTTTGCCTCGTCACGCACGATACAGGTAACACATCCCTTCATTCGCAACGTGGCTTGAGACGCGCGGGTCGGGCATGCTATCCGGTGCAACATCATGCTGCCTGAGCCGCGTTTGTGGAAGTACGGAATGTTTGAACTTGTCCGGCAAGCACAAAGTGGTGCCAATAAAACGAAATGTGTTGTGGCGCCTTGCAGGAAGGCACACCAAAGCCCATCAAAAAGTCGCCATGCCCGCAATGAGCAGCGGCAGCAGCGATGTCACGAACGCGGAATACTCCATACTCCAGCCGCAGAGCCCTCTGACTCGCAAGCCAGGAGCGAAGATAAACTCGCCACATGCGTTCATAACCGAGCAGCCCTTCCCCTACTCCCCTACTAGTACATTCATGGAAAGAGTCTTAAGAGAAATATCCGGAACATGTTTTGACCGACGCGCACGGTGGCATGCGCACCAGGAGCCGTGTCACGAGCATGAGACACAGAATTCCGAATCACCGATTGTCGAACGTTCGCTCGGATCGAGTCAATTGCGGAATGCAGTGAACAGTAATTAGGGCTAATGCGGACTCATTGGCTTTCTCTGTTCCGACAGTCAAACACCTGAACCCAAAGCTAGGTGCAGATGTAAGGGCTCCGAAGGGCCCGCCCCATCAGCGCGATGTTACGCTCATTATCCTGCGTCCTTGCTCCCTCCGCGTCACCCATCTTGGGTTGACGTGTTGCTACACCTCGCAGCCCAAACTAGAAGACGAAGGTAACAGTGGCCGACCTGTACCAGTCCTTCTGAGTCACGTAGTTGCCACCAAAGAAAACAGGGGCCTCCACTGCGGATGTGCACAGTTCGTTGGGTTGAATCACTCGCTTCGAGAAGTCACGAGTTCCACATCTTGTTTCCTGCCTGTGCAGACGAGTACGGTGTCATGGAAGCAAAGATGTTGGAAGCAAAGGCTAACCTGCGACTCAGGGACGGGGCAGCATTCAAAGATCGGATATCACAAATCATGCTTGGGGCTAGACGAGAATACCGCAACCATTGGCGGTGTTCCAGTCTCCACCTGTAGCTTGAACTCAGCTCCCGCCTGTGTCCCAATGAAGGACGACGGCTCAAGTTGGGGATGCGGCCATCATCACGATGAAAGGCAGGTACAGTGCGCTGAGATGCGCCACCTTCGTACGGTGGGCGGCGCTTTTATGGGAGACCGGCCGCTTCCGGAGACATTCTTTTGGCAATGGTGGCATGAACATGCACACATGAAAGGGCACAGCATCCGGCAGCTTCAAGATCCTCGATGTACAAGCCAGCCACTCGCAGGTACCATCATGGGCTTTGCAAGCACAGAGACAGTGCATGCGCCTGTGAAGCGAAGACGTAGTGCGAGAAAATGTAGACAGTCAGCAACACCAGGAAAGCTGGACCTATCAGGCGGACGGTGCCAGAAACTCTAGGGCTCTAGGGTCTCGTGGCTTAAATCCAGCACAGTGTTTTCAACCATTTGACTCGTGTCTCTCCGAGTGCCAAGTCCGCCGCAGCCCGACAGGCCAGCGGCTGAAATCTTGGTGGAGATCGATGCTGCCAGCCACCTTGCAAGCAGGGACTAGGGAGGCTTGCTGCTCTCTGCAGCTTCGTCAAGCTATATGAACTAGCCATAAACATCCAGTAGCAAACGGTCTGGGAAGTCAAGGCTTTTCATTCCACAGGAGGAAAGCCCGGGTGGAGCACAAGTCCGAGCTGCTACCCATGTCCACCAAGTCTGTCGCTCATCAACTCAGTAGCGGTGTTCGGGCGCATGGCCTGACGATGCCCAGCTTGTTCAACATCGCGCTCATGCTGACGAGGATGGCAAACCATGTCATAGTAGTCCACGCACCCTGTCTCCGACCCACAACGGTGTCTAGAATCGCTCAACGCTGCCGAGTCGGGGCCTTCTCCCCAGCGCAGTCAGACCAGGTCAACACGCCAGAAGACAGCAGCACCTCACTTTTGTCAAGCTTTTGTCTACCGTCAATGCCGGGATTTGTCGAGCTTGCGGCTGCAAGCCCCAGCACCGCGGTGTGCACGGGTGGAATCCTGCCGCGTGACTTCACATCCATTTCCGAGGTTATTACAATGCGGAGCACACACAAACACAAACACCACACCCACACCCACACCCACACCCACACGCACGCACACACACACCCCGACCTACACCTATGCCCGTCCCTGGCGCAGCTCCTGAAGGCAGACGAGCCGGCCCATAGCACGAGCATGCCAATGATGACCCCCGCCAGAAGTGCCTGATGGCCACGCAATGACATATCGAGGTAGGATTATTCTCGTTACCTCCTACATTCCTCGAGCAAAGCCTCTTCCAACTTCAATGGACCCATCCTGAGTGGATTCCCAAAAACTGAGAGCTGACTGGCATGCGCTCTGAGGCTGGAGCTGCTTCAACTTCCGCTCGGCCTCTTTGGGCGCATCCGGAGTTCGTTGGACCTGGCGACTCGGCGACTGGCGTGCCCGCCCCTGCCGTGTGAAGTCGGCCGAAGTGGCTTCGGGTGGCAAGGCCCAGAACGCGATGAGGGGTGTGAGTGCCTTGCACAAAGCTCGAGTATGCGAGGCGAATGCAGATGGCTCACAGGCAACAAGTCCCCGACCATGGCTGTCAAGGCTGGCACGCAGCTTGCCTGTCAACTCTCAAGCACGCCGGTGCCGCATGAACTACTGCAATGTCTTGCCTTCAGCCAGGTTGTGAAAGGAGACTCGACCACATATCCCAGCTGACCAGCAAGCCTCGGCTGCTGCAGGAACACGGAAAGCCTTCTGCAGGGCTCTCTTCAACTCCCTTTTTTGTTAACTCTTGCTTGCTAGAATCCTCAAGGCCAGCAGATTCTGCGCTGCTCCATACAGCCAAAGGGAAGACGAATTCCCAGTGGCCTCCCGCAACTAGCTGCAGCCCAACCAAGTGCAGTGATTCTCGCAGTCACGGTATATATCACGGTGCCGCAATCAGGAGGCATGCAAGGCGCCTGAAAAGCACATTGAACCAGGAAGCCACCCGTGTTTTTGGCCTCGTTTGCACATGCATGCTATGCTGAGCTAGTAGTCACCTCCACATGCCCCATAGCCGCGCCATAGCCTTGTACAACAGTCAGCTCGAAAGCCTGTAGAGCCCTTGCATTCGTACTATGTTAACCTACCGTACCAGGAGGCAAGACACGAAAAAGACGCTAGCGCACCGACCACTGCAACAGCTTCTAGGCCGAGCGTTAAGAGTTAAGATTGACTGAGTGAGCCCAATCTCAACATCAACAGTAGCATCTTCACCTGCGTCATCAGCGTCAAAGTCATCGTCGTCGTCCTCGTCTTCTCCTCCTCCTCTTCCTCCTCATGCTCATCATCATCCAGAGACGCATCATCTGTCTTTCGCTGTCCGGAAATCGGAAAATGACCCACGCATCGTCGGCATCATCAGTCTCATGCTTTCCTGCTGGTGTGACCGGTACCTCAGTCACCTGCCCTGCTCACCATTATCATCTGTCTTTTTGCTGTCAGCAACCTCGAAATCGACCTCATCACGCATCATCGGCCCTATACCCGGTGCTCGGCCGCACTGTAACTCCGTAGATCGTAGCTTCAGGCACCTTCTCATCCACGCTTGTATATCTACTCGCACCCCTGTGTGCTTTTTCCACAGCACGAGCGCGTCAGTGGAGGACGTGGTCTGAAGCCATGGCCATGGCAGACTCGAGAAGTACGGTGATCTCATTATCGCAACGCTGCCGGATTCGCACTTTGTCGAGGGCAGTGGATCCAAATCCTCAGTTGCTCAAGAAGACTACACACACGTGTAGGCAGGTGATGGCACGTGGCTCACGATTGCACGGGCTGGAAGAACGGCTGAAGGTCTGGCAACGACTGCAAAAGCTGCGAGACAGCACATGACGTTGTCGCTAGGTTCTGAAAGCACCTTGTAATTTAGCAATACGACATCGAGTCCCAGAGTGGCGATACATCTGATACACATGGCTGCAGCCACGAGGCTGTTCTGGCACCATGGATCGGCATCCAGGAACCTGACAGTATGTCGAACGAAAAGCGCGAGACGACTCATTCAGTCACGGAAATTCACGGAAACGGTGCTGCATGCCCCCGAGATGCAGGAGCAGCTCCACACACTTTGGAGAACGGCCCAGAACTGCAGCACGCATCAGGGGCGTGTCACCCCTGTGATTCGGAGAGTTGAGGTACTCTCGTGGCACCGTTTGCGCCAGAGCTTCGAGGACCTCTGCCGAGCCGCCGCCGGCTGCGGCATGGATCACGTTCTCTCCATGGGCGTTCCAAACATCCGTGCTGCCGCTTCGACTGAGCAGAAAGTCCACAGCCTCCGAACAGCCCTGCCGAGCTGCGGCTGCGAGAACGCAAGAGCCGTCGGCATCCAGAGCATTCAGATTGGCCCTGCAGGGGGGCAAATGCTGCGAGACCGTCCTGGCCGACAAGACTTACCCTGCCATGCTGCAGTCCTGTGCTTCAGCAACACTTTGAGAGCCATCACGTCGTTAGCACCAGCAGCTGCATGAAGCAGCGGCCGACCGGCGAAAGTACCCGAAGGTGCTCGTGCGCAGGCAGGTATCATGCCTCAGCACGGACCGAAAGCATTCTTGCATGTGGCGCCACTGGCTGACTTCTCCATACTTCTCCGTGCTGACCAAGCACCCGATTCGAGATCCAAAGAAACGTCAGGACGCCAGGCTGCCCAAAGCTCGCGAACCTGCTGGCGCGCCCGTGCCATACGGGGAGACAGCGCTGTGTGAGCGCTGCGACACCAGGCGCCCGCCTGCAGGCACAAGTGGCAAAAGCTGACTCGGCTTTGCTATCAGGAGGCTGCAGTCTCCAAACTGCCTGGGCTGCGCAGGCCCATGGGACGGTCGATGCTACTCGTCCCAGCACGGCATCTGGAAGTCTCAAACGACATCTCGAGCCTGCATCCCCAAATGGTCAGGGCCCGCACTTGCCACATTTAAACAAACAGCGGGCGGGCCTGCTTCCCAGTTGACTTGGGCCTGTTGCTGGAAGGTCTCGTGGCACGCTGCAGCTTCCTGCCTCGATTTGGGGTGGGTGTAGATCCAGGTTGCTAGCCTTTACTATGGAATTGCAGCCGAGAAACGGAGGCAGTGGCAATCTAAGTCGAGGAGCAGCGAGCATGCGCTTTTCGTTGACTACGTTGACTGCCTGCATCACGCCCAACTGGCTGCTGCAGCCACCCCGCAGCACTGCCAAGCCATGATTTGCAAAGCAGCACTGGCCTTGAGTAGTATGACGCGCTCCGCATCCTCCCGCTGGCGAGCATCCAATCGGGCAATTCGCTGCGCGGCAGCAGCACCACTCCCGGCCAAGAGCTCGTGGGACACATTGCCAGCTGATCCTGCCAGCAGCTGCTTCGGGAAGCGCAAGTTATTGTAATCACTGATGATGTCGCAAGGGGAGGTGCCTAAGATCTGTTCATGTTAATCTCTTGCGCTGAGAAAGCTCTTCTTGCTTGTCGCCTGTCCTGTGCTGCCCATCTCTGGCGCAGCCTCGAGCAGATCGAAGTCGAACATGCCAGCGCACTCTGTTGGAGAAGAGTGAAGGACAGGTGATGAGGTCGTCAGGACAACATGTTTTGGGCAGGAACAGAACAGTACTCAGTAGTCGAAGTCGTGCTTGACAACCGCGACGGATGGGTCAATAACTGTTGGATGCTGTTTCGACACAACTCTGCAAGGAGGAGCAACCGAAATCTTTCTCATTCTTCCTCGTTCCTTTATGTGGGCTAAACGGCTAAATGCTGTAGCTGCCGCTGCTTCAGCGTGATTCAGAGCATCGCGCACCTCCGCTTTCTTCACGAGAACTTTGAGCCAAGGCTTCACTATGCTTCACTGTCCGCACATCAGAACCGAATGACTGAATGTCGCAAGCATGCAAGGGTTCAGTTTGCAGTTCCTGAAGGTTGCGATTGAAACTTCATGGCTTTATGCTCGTGGTCCATGTCGATGTTGGTGAGATGCCGCGGCCAGGAGTCTTAACAAGTGCTCCTAGACTCTTCGACATGAGGGGTTGAGAAGTCTCAGTCTGAGAGACGGGCCTGATTCCTTGCTGGGTCGGAGCCACAGGCCTGCGTGGTGCCGAAGCCGGGCCCAAGCTGGACAACTTCCCACGTCATGAGCCCTTGCCTTTGCAACTGAGTCCGCCAGGGGATAAAACACCCCGGCCTGGTAGTGAATTTAGATTCGAAGGACTGGCGCCACAACTACGATGCTCAAATCATTGAATGCTTGGGGGGGGGTCATCGTTTAGAACAACCTGGAGACCAGCAGACCGTGAGAGTCTGAAGGCAGACAGATTGACAAGGTCGACCGTGTGAGATACACTCGAGATGCGAGGACAAAAGTAGGCACCCAGCAGCTCGTGCGGCTGAAGAAGGCATTCCAGCAGCCAGTACTGCACGCGACTCTTCATGTCTGTGTGCGTGTGGGGCCAGCACTGCAGGCCTCCTTCCGCTGCATTCAGGCCATAGGCCAGTCCCAGGGTTGTGCCCCCGACCAAGCGGACAATACCTGACACTTCTTGCGATCCCGGAAACTCCTGCGGCTAGGGCCCTACAGTACGGCACTTAACGCAATGCGATCACCAAGGCCGGTCTTTGCGAAGCCCTGAGAGTCACAGATAGTAGTCGCAGCTCGACAAGAGTGATGTTGGAAGGCAGTCCAGGTCCTTGGTGAAGAAGAATGCGAGTAGGACCAGCCACAACACCTGAGACGGAAAGTTCGGTTGCAGAGAGAGCTCGGGGCCTGGGGACATGCTGTTCTCGCGATGAATGACAAGCTGATGGTGCGTGCAGTGCAGCATAAAATACTACATTAACCACACACCCTGGCCTCATCCGTGAATGCAGCAACGCCCTCTGCAAAAGTCAGCCTGGACAAGAGAATGGTTTAGTATCTGCTCCTCCTCAATATGTTTCTGCCTCATTACAAGCCCGAGCACAGTGCAAGCGCCGTCCAAAAGGCAGCAACAAACAGCTCTGAGGCTTCCGCGTTTTCGTCCTCAGCTACAGTATGCGACCATGTCTACCTTTTCCTGAAAGACAGGCGGTCACAGTGTGGTTTACTGGGCATTGGTTGCATGCATGCGGGTGTCACCCAATGCTCCTGAACTGGCTTCATGTGCTGGTGCTGAGTTCTCGACATTAGGCCAACAGCCAGGGCACAAAAAGCCACACCTGGATCAGACTTCAATCAAGACCTGCAGCTCTTGCAGGACTGCCCATGATGCTGCCTGGAGACGGTAGAGGCTGAGTAACGATGCCGGTGACCTTTTCGAAGTCTGCACATCGAACCATGGCAGCATAAACAGTTCGGCTGAATGACATGCGCGTGCCGTTGCCACGAACAGGGCAAGGATGGACCAGCCCTGTGCGGAGACTCCTGGCAAGAATGGCACAGCGAGGGCGAGGACGCATGGGAATTTCGAATTCACAGATAGGCCCTGCAAATCGACTGCGATCACACATGCTGCGTCAGTGTCACCATGTGTGACCCGGCCTTCCGGCACCGGGCAAACGAATCGAATGAACAATCCAATGCCGACTGAGATGGCTGTTGGAACCTGCGCTGGCTAAGGCTTTGCCCGGTCCAGCCACATCAACACTCTGCGGCTGCGGCCAGCGACGCTCCAGTCCATCGTCGCTGGCCTCAAGGCAAACCAAACTGGAAGAGCGAACAAACAGCCAAAAGCTACGGACTCATGCTGCAACGTGTTATCACACATACATTCAAATTGGACAACGATCACTTCACCTCAGCATGCCCTGGTCTTGTGCTAAACCAGCGCCTGCGGCAATGACAGGCGATGACTGTGGCTAGCTGGGCAGCTACCACTTTCACCCTAGCCGTTGGGCTCAGTGGTTCTTGCCCAGCTTCTGCTTCGCTCTTTTTGCATCAGGCTTGAGGGGACGAAACCCCTCTGCATAGGGGCATGCATGGGGGCACGCCCTGCTTCACTCCTGTTTTTCTTGCTTGCTTGCTTGCAAGGCGTTTGGGCACAGGGGAGGCCCCCTATGCCCTGCGCACACGCGCTACGCCAGTGTCCGAGTCCTTCTTTGTGAGACCGGGGAGGCACAGTTCTGCTACGCGGAGTGGCCCTTTTCCCATTAGCGTCCCCTACCACTCAAGCAAAGCGTATGTCTCCCCGCCTAGGCCACTTCGCGGGAACTGACCCCCTGTTTCGTGCGGGTTTCCGCGCTCCCCGGAGTTTTTTTTTTTTTCTCTCTCTCTCTCTCTCTCTCTCTGTCGTCTGATGCTGTCTGGATCAACTTGAGGGGTAGTGAGACCAACTTAAACCATCAAATGCAGCTCGACAGTCGGCATGAAGTCAAGCCCCGGTCTTCAGGATAAAGTGAGTTGTCCAGCAAGAAACACTGCAGTGGTCCGAAGTGTAGGCTGAAATTATGCTAGTTTCCCCTAGCATGACTGGTCGTCGTGCTTGCCAACACGAAAAGATTGCATGAAGAACTTATGATAAGTAGATGTGCTTCAAAAAGCTTGCGGTCGAGCGCACACCTTCTGCAACCCGTTCGCACAAGTTTTAAACGATGCCAGAAGGCTCCTCAGCGATACATGTGGCTTGCAAGTGGGGGGGGGGGCATCTCGCCTCCCCAGCACCTGTTTCAGGAACCCATCAGCTTGGGACCCAACCAAGCTGAAGAAGGGGTTAATCCAGAACGGAAACTGCGAAGTCTTGCGCGCAAGTCGTCACGAAAATGTCAAGAATTGCGACTGAACACCTCGTAAGATGAGCCGTAGTCTCCCACCATCACCGACTCTGATGGGGCCCGCGGGTGGGTTTAAAAACAAAGAATCCAGCTTCGTTACATTTTGGATATTGGCGTAGATGCGCAGGGGCTGCTGCGGCTCATGGCTTGGACCTCTCATGTCTCACAAATGCCACGTGTTCGTGTCTGTGACAAACGAGAAATAGTACCGAATATCCTGGCTGGTGACAAGCGGGGGCTGATCGACACAGTGTACAATGAAGGGCACATTCTCAAGATCCGTCTCCTGAACAAAATCGGCTGCCGCCAAGTCTTCGTTTCGTCACCACGCCTCGACTCTGCAGCTCTGCCAGCTTCACCCTCGAGATTTGTTGCCTTCGGCCTTCGATAGGTCAGAGCGGAGCAGGGAGCAGTGATGGTGTTTCGAAGTCGGGTGGTCGTGCTTTCGGGGCTGCTGGTGTTGGTTCTGGTATTAGTGACAGCTGCTGCTGCGGTGATGGCTGTGACGGTGGTGGCGGCGGGCAACCGTTCCTCGCACTTGATCGAGCCCGTCTGCGACTGGCCGTCACATTGCCGTAACTGAGGTAGGACACTCCCCAGCAGAGTTCTCGCTCTGTCACTTGCTCTCTTCTCGTCTTTTGGAACGACGTTTTGGACGCTTTGTGTCGAAGTCCTGTCCGACTATGCGTCGGTGGGGTGGGGAACGGCTGCACGGCTACGCATGGATCATCGAGTATTATACATGCGTCACATGTCGATTGTGCAACAGCCGAGGTTCTCACTTTGTGGAGAATTCTGTGGCTGGCTCCCTGGCAAGTGGCAAAAGGATGTCGTGGTCAAGTAGGCTTCGAGGTTCACACATGTTCACCCCCCCCCCCCCCACCTGCTCTTCCAGAAATGCACCAGGCTGCCTTTGCTGTCGAGATTGAGATGCGACAACCGTGCAGGCCTGCGCTCAACTGGCCTCTCTGCTGTGCATCTTTGCAGCAGCGAGTACGCCGGCCTTAGGACTGCAGACTTTAGGAGTTTGCCGGATGGTGGCATGTCAGCCAGCTTGCTGCTGAGTTGCTACAGATGATATGCCTCCTGAAATCACCACAGGCAAGTATGAGGTGTCTTAAGGTGCTAATTGGTGCCAGTCAGACTCAGACCGAAGGACAAGTGACCCGCCAACTCCGGTCCTCGTGTTCGAAGGGCAGCTTTGTGGGAAGAGGCCATGGGCGGCACATGGGCCTGTGCAATGTGCACAAGCATAGGCATGATAAGGCATGACTATCGTGACTTGCAGCTTTGGACCTGCCGTGTCTTCAGAAGCCGAGTCTGCAAACGGCCAACTCGGGATGACGAGGCAGGCGCCTTTGGGCAGGCAGCTGGTTTTACGGGCACCGACGCTTGGATGCTCGCACAGTGCGATTTTTTGCTACCAGCTGCTACCAGATACCAAAAAAAGCCAAGCTCGTCGCAGCCAGCGACGGAGCTGCCCATTGCACGGACATGACCGCAGCACCAGGAACGGACCGCCTACGCAACGGCTGCATGGCCAATTGTGAACTCTGAGGTGCGGAGGTTGCTCTTCAGGGGGTCTTATGCTCCTAAGCTCTTGTTTCTGAGTCTGATCCGGCAGACAACAGGAGTATGCACGACATTTCATGTGTCAATGGTTCATGACGGGCTAGCACGAGCTGAAATGCCAGAGGAGGCACGCGTCGAAACTATGTCGTTGTTAAGCAGCAGCAGCCGCCGCTGCCGAGCAGAAGTTTAACGCTGCGCATTCACAAACGCTACGAGCTGCTCAGCAGCATTGTGAAACATTCTTTGTGTACATGCAGCAAGCTTTGGCTGAAGCGAGCTAGATTTGGCTTACCTGAGGCGGCACCCAACGATTAATTAAGTTAGCGTTTCGTCGGAGTATAAGGGCAGTCCCCAGGCAGCCTCGCACTCACTGCGTGCAAGAGCTGTTCAATGCACTGCACGATGCAACCATGCATGTCTGGAAGTTTCCCTTCCAAAGCATTCCAACGCTGTGAGACACTGTTGCCAGCGATGCTGCCCAGAGCTCAGAGTGTGTCGACAAGCTGATGCGCCTGATCTGACGCAAATCGACATTTGCAGGCTGCACAATTGCATGACCGGATTCGGAGTCACGCGAACGCCACATTGAAGTGGACTCACCACCATGATTCATTAGTTAGAATCATGAACAGCTCCATGTAGTACTTGATTCCCAACGACGCCCCGTCCTTCTCGGTGAGAAGTTTGGCCTCCTCTTTGTCCCGCATCTTGCCTGGCGCATGTCTGGTCTTCGAAACTCACCCTTCGACATCATTCGGGCGTGGGCGACGCCCGAATTCGAGCAGAGCTTTGGGCCCAAAGGGTCCCTTGTACCTAGCCGACCTCTGCACATTTTAAGGACCTCTCAAGAGTTGCCCGGACTGTTTGTTGAACGTGCTCGCATCGAGTCGCCCTTCCAGGTGGAACTTCCCCTTGCTCGGAAAGAGCTGACACTTTCTAGATTAGCAGGGGAAGTTTCCGTATGTGTTATTCAATGGCTCCTCGGTCAGGACAGAAGCGTACCGATCTCTTCCTCTTCACTGTCTACAGAGGCTACAGAGCTCGGAACAAGACCCCATGCCCCAGGCGAAGCGAGGTATCTT